ATGAACTGACCGCTAGGTACCCTATAACCAATCGTACCTAAACCTATATCGACCATATCAAACATCCACCCCACTGACCTCAGTCCTTGACCTACCCTCATATGTCCCCAGTACAAGTGGATGAAGATCGAGGAACCACAGGAGAAGCCAGTTAAGCCTGCCCTGAAGACAAGGAGACGTGCGACCAAAGTCCTTAACGCTAGTCTCGGCAAGAAGACGACTATCAAGGTCAGCCCACAGTCATTTCCCTTGCTTGCCTTGTTATTAACACGTTTTTCTTAACTCAGCTTCGCGTTTGTGGATGTGTGGATTTGTTTGTTGTTAAAATTGACATCGAAAATTAGCCCACTTCTGATTGCTCTAGAGACCTGAAATTTGGCATGCATGCTACTTTCGCCTAACAATTTCAGATGCAATCATAAAAACTAGCAATTAGTGACCGTAATTAGCTTAATTTAATTACGCCCCAAGGACCATAAAATTGAGGACATGATTTCTAAAGATACCGACAAGACTTGAGGCCTATTGACACAGTTACTTCGGCCCCAATCGATGTGAGCGCGCTGGCCGTGATCGTATAGTGGTTAGTACTTCGCGTTGTGGCCGCGACAACCCAGGTTCGAATCCTGGTCGCTCAAGATTTTTAGTCCGTGTATTTATAAACACTTTTTTAAAAACCACGTTTTTCATGTGTAGCAACGGACTAAAAAGGAGAAAATAAAATACTTAAAAAAAACTTTTTAAAAAAACACGTTTTTTATGTGTAGCAACGGACTAAAAAGGAGAACGGACACGGTAACACATTGTTAACGGTGACATGGGCATGCTAAAATACACATAAACACGTTTTTCCTTAACTCAGCTTCGCGTTTATTTGTTTGTTTATGGGAGATTTGATCACGTGATTCCTGAGTAGATCTTCACGCCAGCAACGTAAATTACACCCTTTCTCTGTTTAAAGCGTATCGGTCGCTCAAGATTTTTTTAGTCCGTGTATTTAAAAACACTTAGTCAAGTCATACTTAATCAAGTGATTAGATAAAGTAGAAAATAAACTATATAAAAAACTTTTTAAAAACCACGTTTTTCATGTGTTGCAACGGACTAAAAAGGAGAAAATAAAATACTTATTTACATACATTTGATGACAAAAAACGTGGGTCGGGCAGATGGGTCGGGAAATTTGATGGTGAACGTACCCACGTTTTTTGTCATCAAATGTATGTAAATAGTTATTTTCTACTTTTTAGTCCACAAGAAAAACGTGGTTTTTTAAAAAGTTTTTTTTTTAAGTATTTTATTTTTCATTGACTTATAGATTTATTTGTGTGATATATATATATAGGCCTATATATATATATATATATATATATATATATAGGCCTATATATATATATATATATATATATATATATATATATATATATATATATATATATATATATATATATTCCATTGTGTCATGTTTTTAAAAAATAATATAGTACCTGAGGTTAATAACATCTGACTAGTAAATTAAATTAGAAAATTTGCCTTTCTTGTTTCCAAGTTTTTTGTTTGTTCCGGTCTAAGTTTCATTGAATAAGTTTATTATTTTATTTTTTTATTATAATCATGAGAATACGAAGTACGTGTTTGCCTTGACTGTTTTTAATTTAACTTACCCCCCCGCCACCTATTGTTTACTGTTTCCTAGCAACAAAATAACTCTTGTAGTTACTGTTCCCAAAGGGTAAGTTTCTTTCGGTTGCCTCCCTTGCATGGGGCTTGCAGTCAGCTTCGATCTTTTGTTTCGGTTTGTTGTCTAAAGTTATTCATTTTAAAAAAATTTGGGTTAATGTTGTATTACATATTTTAAATTAGAACTTTTTTTTCTAAAAATGTGTAATAAAGGACATGTACTATAGTAAAAATGAATGGCCTCTGATGTAATGGTATAAGAGATAATATAAGAAGTAAATATTTCCCTTACATCACTGGTGTAAAAATTGTGCTTATAAAAGGAATCTAGCTGAAATCTTGTGTAAAAATGTTTTACATTTAACACTACGCCTCACTGTTCTATCTTTATTTTTGTGTTCTCATGTATATTGAATAAATTCTACCAACACTGCACTTTCACAGCAGGGATTAAATGCACCATCAACTACACCATTCCCTTATCTACAATCACTGTAACTATTCAAGCCTTGAGTTTGTTGTATTAAAACCCTTACTTCATTAGCTATCAAAACTTAAATATATTTTATAATATCTCTTTTTATTTAAAAAACCTATGTAGAAGAAATAAGTTGTGGTGAAAAAATACCACATCCAAACTCAGATGCCTGGTTAACTTTTTAATGTTGTATGCCATTTCTGGCACCACTAACAATAAAAACAAAGAGCCTGGTTTTTATTAAAAGCTGTCCATAAAACTTTGAAAAATATAAACTTCTTTAAAACTTTAAAAAATATAAACTTTGTGTTTGCTACTGGTCTTTGTCCTAAATCTGCCTAGCTGGGTGAAAGGGAGGTAATCCTACAAATATAATGGTGGTTGGTTGCCTGCTTAAAGTATTTTGTATGCTTGTATGAGAGCACTGTGCTTGTAAGGTGAAGGGATAAAGCATGCCTGTAAGCTGTAGCATGTGCAATGTATCTACTTGACAAGGTGCATTGTGGGTCTTTAAGAAAGATGAGCTGCATTTTGTGTCTCTTGTTGCTGATGTATGTGGTTGCTCTTGTAAGCTTAAATAAATATTGGTTGTAAGATTCATAAAACTATAATTAAAGGGAGAAAATTTCCTAATTTTTAGGTTTATTTCTTATTTCAAGTTGCTTTTTTTTGTTTTTGGTTTTGTTATGGATATTTTAAGACTTATTTAGGTGACTAAGGTTTACTCAAATATTTTTTATTAAATAAGGGGTACACATATTTTGAAAGCAGACAAATTTTGAATGACCGTAACTGTGTGGATGATATTTCTCTAAGCAATTGACTAATCATACAATTTTTTTATTAAATCTAATAAATATTTTAATGATTCTTTAAATTACAGTCTGAGGCAATTCAAAAAATAACTAGTTTAATGTTCTTATTTTGACCACTAGGAAATAAATTGCAAAAGAACATCTTTACTTGTGAATGAACCTAACTAATAAAATCAAACAAATTATTGAGATAGTTTGTTTACCATTGTTTACCTGTATGTTTACCTGTATGTTTACCTGTATGTTTACCTGTATGTTTACCTGTATGTTTACCTGTATGTTTACCTGTATGTTTACCTATATGTTTACCTATATGTTTACCTATTTGTTTACCTGTGTTTACCTCTATGTTTACCTGTATGTTCACCTGTATGTTTACCTGTATGTTCACCTGTATGTTTACCTGTATGTTTACCTGTATGTTTACCTGTATGTTTGCCTGTATGTTTACCTGTATGTTTACCTGTATTTTCACCTGTATGTTCACCTGTATGTTCACCTGTATGTTCACCTGTATGTTCACCATTATGTTTACCTGTATGTTTACCTGTATGTTTACCTGTATGTTTACCTGTATGTTTACCTGTATGTTTACCTGTATGTTTACCTGTATGTTGACTGTTCCAGGTGACACCCACAAGCAGTAGACGTAAGGCCAGGACCGGCACCACCAGCGCCAGAAGACTGGACGTCCAGCCCAGCCCTGGCCTGCCCTGGAGGACAGCAGCTAGAGCCAACAGGTTTAGGTTAGTGGGGTTGGGGTTTGAATCTCTACAGTAAAGATTTATAGTTACTTGTGTATAGCAGTTTCTTCAGTTGATGGTTGTGTTGTTATGGGTTTCTATTGGTTCATGTTTTGGGTTTTTGTGATGGTGTTTTTTCTGGCTGTTCCATCAATCATAGCTACCTTAGTGTGGCTGTTCCATCAATCATGGCTAGCTCAATGTGGCTGTTCCATCAATCATGGCTAGCTCAATGTGGCTGTTCCATTAAACATAGCTAGCTCATTGTGGCTGTTCCATCAATCATGACTAGCTCAATGTGGCTGTTCCATCAATCATGGCTAGCTCAGACTGGCTGTTCCAACAATGGCGTTAGACTTTTTAAATTAGTCATTTATTTTTAATAATGTATCTCTACCATTATGACCTTTAACACATATGAATTTTAACCTTTGTATTCCAGGGGTCACCCACCAGACACGTCACGTTTCCTGACTGAGCCAACATCCGACGTATCCACCTCCCTGCTGTTCACCAGCCACGTGAAGGATGATGATGATGATGACAGCTCCGACTCCCCCGCGGATGTTGTCGTGGAGGTGGACACCGGGGTCAGCAGGATGAGGAGGATGGAGAGCGAAGCCGCCGCGGCCATTAAAAAACTGGAGGAGAGCCACTTGTCCCTGGACCTGTCCAATCAGAAAGCTGTTTTAGTAGGTCACATTGTACATAGTTTTTGACAGATAATATGTATGGGCATATAAGAAAACCTGCCACCCCCCCAACTTTTCCATTTAAAATACAATCCGTAATATAGTCAGTCTATATTAACAACGCCCTGTATGAAAGGTTACACCTAACTGTTGAGAAGAGATTTATTGGTTTAAAAAGTCATCTCTTAACAAGACAAATACAGTATTTTTCGCACCCTGTAGTTGTTTTGTCCTGGTATGGGACCCAATAAGCCTTAGAGCAGGTTGAAGTAGAGTTTTAGCTGTTTTTCTGGCATTGTCAGTGCAATGTTTGTTACAATCTTAAAATCTTTAGCATGAAACTGTCACTATTAAATTGTTTTATTATTTGTTAAAAATATTATATGAAATGAAAATCATGCTGTCCCCTACATAACTTTGCCTGTTATGTACAAAACTATACAGAAGCAAAGCTAGTCACATGTTTGTGTCATCCACCAAACAGTTTTTTCTTACTATTTAAGTTTACATTGGTATCATATTAAAAAGGTGACTGCAGTACTAAAACTTAAACTTGTATCAGACGTCTCTTTTGTTATGTCCCCTAGGTGGAGCTGGAGCAGATGAGGCGACACTTGAAAGAAGAAAGATTAGCTCGAGCTAAGGCTGACCAGCGGGTTATAAAGGTCAGTCATGGAACAGCTTAGTTATTGCTTAAGGAGGGTTAGACTAGACTAACCCAAACTGGTTTCTCTCAACCACTAGAATTTTAACTTATGAGAGTAATATATATTTGAGAAAGTTTTATTGAATCATATTTTTTTAGGACTAGTACCTCAGGCCATCTAGATTGTTATATCATTTATTTATTAATTATTTTCTGTGAACATAAATTAGTTTCATTGAAATTGAGAAAAATAATTTTAAATGTTAACTTTTAATTTAAAGGAAAATTTCTCAAAAAACTCACTGAAAGATATTGGCTGAATTTTATTGACAGCATAAGACAGCTTATACAGTAACTAAATCTGGACAGGCATTTAAATAAATGTCTAATTAATGACCAAACAGTTCAACTATAACCATAACAGGACTGGGGGTTGGGGTCGGCGTGGTCGAGTCAGTAAAGCTCATGGTTGCTAAACCGAAAAGTCTCGAGTTCGAACCCTAGGGCAGATGAGGGTCGTTAGCTGGGGATAGCCACTCTACTCCAAAATCAAACAACTGCTGCCTTGTAGTTTGTTCTTGGTTGGACAAAGGCTATGGAAGCAAATCCAAAAAGAAAAGCAGGCTGAAATCAGAGTCAATGGCCTCAATTGCACATAACCAGTTGACACGTATCCTTAATTGTGGTTGAGGCGTGGTCGAGTCGGCAAAAAGCTCATGGTTGATAAATTCGAAAAAAAAAAGTCTCGAGTTCAAACCCTTTGGCAGATAAGGCTCAATCCCTTCCAACACTAAAAATTAAGAATGAAGAAGAAGGACTCGGGGTTAAACAAAACTGGCATTACAGTTTACTGAATTAGCTAGTAATCATCAACATATTAGAATGGTAGCTCATACAAATGCTAAACCAAAAGTCTCAAGTTCAAATCCGGGTTTAAATCTGTAGAACAACCCTGAGTCCACCCAGCTCCAATAAGTGCCTGACTTATATTAGGAAGGTAAAGGCAGCTAGGCATAGTGTTGACCAAATGCAGAGGTCACAGAAACAAGTGGACTCTACTTCACCTGTCCCAATAACCATCATGTTCGAAATGAAACTTTATTTTTAAATCACACCAACAATATTTGTCCTGCCTGTAGCAACATTTGTCCTGTCTGTAGCCAACACTATTTGTTCTGTCTGTAGCCAACTATATTTGTCCTGTCTGTAGCTGACAATGTCCTGTCTGTAGCCAACACTATTTGTCCTGTCTGTAGCTGATGCTAGAGAATCGCAGGCTGGAAGAGACTGTTGCCCAGCTTCAGAAGGTCCAGCAGCCCTACACCAGCCCACTAGAGGACGCCAGTTTCCTGGAGAGTATTGAGACTTCCTTCAAGCAGTTCCACGCCTTCATTGATATGCTGAGGGAGGCGGGGTAAGATAGGAGGGTAGGGGTGTGTTTGGTCATTCTTTGAGGCTGGAGGGTTGGGGGTGTGTTTGGTCATTCTTTGAGGCTAGAGGGTTGGGGGTGTTTGGTCATTCTTGACATTGAGGCAGGAGGGTCTTAGGGTGGGTGTTTGGTCATTCGTTGAGGTAGGAGGGTGGGGGGTGTTTGGTTATTCTTTGAGGCTAGAGGGTTGGGGGTGTTTGGTCATTCTTGACATTGAGGCAGGAGGGTCTTAGGGTGGGTGTTTGGTCATTCGTTGAGGTAGGAGGGTGGGGGGTGTTTGGTCATTCGTTGAGGGTCTTGACATTGAGGTAGGAGGGTCGTAGTGAGTTTGGTCATTCTTGACATTGAGGTAGGAGGGTTGTAAGGTGTTTGGTCATTCTTTGAGGCTGGAGGGTTGTAGGGCGTGTTTGGTAATTCTTGACAATGAGGAAAGTGATGTTAAATGGAAAGAAGGGGAGGAAGATCATTTCTTGACATTCTGTAGAGGTAAAATGGCTGGTAGAGGGGATGTTTGTTTTGATTGTAAATATGTTTGTACGATGAGTGTTAAATAGATATGAGGTGGAGTTAAGAAGCGCAAGGCTTACTTTATTGATAATCTGATAATTATCTTTATTACCATTGCTTCTTTCTTTTTTTTTGCTAGCACTCAACTAAAGACAATTATTGTCTTTATTTCTTGTTTTTTAAAAAACCTAACCAACTAGTTGTTGTTTTGTTTTTAAATTAACCAACCAGTTGTTGTTTTTAAATTAACCAACCAGTTGTTGTTTTTTAAATTAACCAACCAGTTGTTGTTTTTAAATTAACCAACCAGTTGTTGTTTTTAAATTAACAAACCAGTTGTTGTTTTTAAATTAACCAACCAGTTGTTGTTTTTAAATTAACCAACCAGTTGTTGTTTTTAAATTAACCAACCATTTGTTGTTTTTAAATTAACCAACCAGTTGTAGTTTTTAAATTAACCAACCAGTTGTTGTTTTTAAATTAACCAACCATTTGTTGTTTTTAAATTAACCAACCAGTTGTTGTTTTTAAATTAACCAACCAGTTGTTGTTTTTAAATTAACCAACCATTTGTTGTTTTTAAATTAACCAACCAGTTGTTGTTTGTAAATTAACCAACCAGTTGTTGTTTTTAAATTAACCAACCAGTTGTTGTTTTTAAATTAACCAACCAGTTGTTGTTTTTAAATTAACCAACCAGTTGTTGTTTTTAAATTAACCAACCATTTGTTGTTTTTAAATTAACCAACCAGTTGTTGTTTTTAAATTAACCAACCAGTTGTTGTTTTTAAATTAACCAACCATTTGTTGTTTTTAAATTAACCAACCAGTTGTTGTTTGTAAATTAACCAACCAGTTGTTGTTTTTAAATTAACCAACCATTTGTTGTTTTTAAATTAACCAACCAGTTGTTGTTTGTAAATTAACCAACCAGTTGTTTATTTAATTCCCAGACTAGGTCAGCTTGTGTCTATGGCCGGACTTGACCAATCACGCATGCCCTTCAACGGGAACTCAACCAAGCAGAACGGCCACGCCCAAGAGGACAAGCCAGGAAGACCCGCCCCCACCCGACCTATGACCTCTTCACCCAACGCTGTCTACGCTAACGTTCCCATGACTGACGGAGACTTCCGGACTGGTTTCAAGATGGCGGACGATGCCTTGTTCCCCAACGCTAAAGACCCCACGATGCAGTCTAACATGTACACTGAAGAGAGCGGTGAGTGATGTTTATCCTAATTGGAGGTGGGGGTGATATTTGGTTAGCCATACCCACACCTTAGAGTTAGGCTAGAGCTAGAGATTATGTTAGGGATTGAGATATTGGTATAATATAGTGTGACATGACTAGATTAAGGTAAGATTAATTAAGTGGATTATTTGAAATAACTAGATTAAGGTAAGATTAATTAAGTGGATTAGCTGACATGACTAGATTAAGGTAAGATTAATTAAGTGGATTAGTTGACATAACTAGATTAAGGTAAGATTAATTAAGTGGATTATTTGAATAACTAGATTTAGGGTAAGATTAATTAAGTGGATTAGTTGACATAACTAGATTAAGGTAAGATTAATTAAGTGGATTAGTTGACATAACTAGATTAAGGTAAGATTAATTAAGTGGATTATTTGAAATAACTAGATTAGGGTAAGATTAATTAAGTGGATTAGTTGACATAACTAGATTAAGGTAAGATTAATTAAGTGGATTAGTTGACATAACTAGATTAAGGTAAGATTAATTAAGTGGATTATTTGAAATAACTAGATTAGGGTAAGATTAATTAAGTGGATTAGTTGACATTACTAGATTAAGGTAAGATTAATTAAGTGGATTAGTTGACATAACTAGATTAAGGTAAGATTAAATAAGTGGATTAGTTGACATAACTTGATTAAGGTAAGATTAATTAAGTGGATTAGTTGACATAACTAGATTAAGGTAAGATTAATTAAGTGGATTAGTTGACATAACTTGATTAAGGTAAGATTAATTAAGTGGATTAGTTGACATAACTTGATTAAGGTAAGATTAATTAAGTGGATTAGTTGACATAACTAGATTAAGGTAAGATTAATTAAGTGGGTTATTTTATTTAGACACTCTTCTCATATAACATAGAAGGTGCAAAGGGAGACAATTCAATTTTTATCATTTTTTAGGACAACATTTCAATTTTTTCAGCTTAGATTTTCCCCCTCAGATTTGCTTTGTTTATAATTTGTGTCCGTTTAATAAGTTCCTCTTCCAACACTAGGTTCTATATGAACGGGTGAAGTAGAGTCCATTCTATCAAGCCATGATAATTTTTGTTTTAAAAATCCCCTACTTTGATCAACTCCACCAAACTTTGACTCTGGTCCAGAACTAGCCAAACAGGAGCCATGATAAAAAAATCCCCTTACTAAACTACTTTGATCAACTAATTTTTGTTTTAAAAATCCCCCACTAAACCACTTTATTCAACTCCACCAAACTTTGTTTCTGGTCCAGAACTAGCCAAACAAGAAGCAGACGAGCTCTACACCAGGCTGGTGAGGGAGACAAGGTCAGCACTCAGTCATGATGGACAGACAAGGGAGAGAACTTGGGCCAAGTCAACTGTGAGTTCTTTTCTCTTTGATACTATTATGTTGGTAGTCAAAGTTTTCTGTGACCTTAACCAGAAGGATTTAGGTGACAACCTTGTACTTCTGACAAGCAAAATCCTGGAGGACCTCATTGAAAATAATTGAAATGCTAGAAATTAGAAAACTTCTAAATCAGTCAATAAAAGCTGAAAAGAAAAATGAATGAGAGTTTAATGGAAGATAATTAATGTATAGTTTATATATTTTTAGAGTTATTTTAAAAGTTTGAAAATTCAGAAATACATAAAGGAAATGTATGAAAGAAATTCAGTTGAATAGATATTTTTTATATTTTAATTTGTATGAAAATAGAAAAATTGTATTCACTAGAGAAATTGTATTCACTACCTTTATGGTTTACAAAATAAAGACAAAACATAATGTAGTGAATACATTTTTTATTGTATTTTTAGATTTTAAAAAATTACCAGGCATGTCTTTACTATCTAGAAATCAAACAGAAAAACATCATGAATATTCTTAAATCTTTAAAAATATTCATATTGTAAATTACTACTGAAAGCTATTTGACATAATGTATTGAATAGGCCTCCAGAGAAACCAATATATATGTACTTGATAATTTGACCAAACCACACTACAGGGTGATATCAAAGTATTAGTTTAGATTAGGATTTGGGCAAGTTTCTGCGGTTTTAATTTAACATCCAAGGTTATATGTTGCAGTGGCTGTGACAGTGTGGTTTGGCTTACCCAAGGTTACACAAACTTGTTGTTTTTATTTGACTAATATTTTTATCTCCCTTGATGGTATGGCTAAACCATGAGTACACAAACATGTTGTTTTACTTATTTTATTATCTCCCTTGACAGAATGGTCACAAAGGGGAGGTCACTTCAAAAACACACCACCAGCCCCCAGATGACCAGCCCACTAGGACTGACCAAGTAGACAGTGGTCACCTGAGGACTGACCAAGTGGACAGTGGTCACTTGAGACTGCAGGAATCTGACCTGTATGATGAGCAGCCCTCCTACTTGATGGGTTCCAGACAGAATGGGGAGTCTTCTGGGAGGATTTCTAATGAGGATCATGACGAGGATGATGAAGATGATGATGATGATGATTTTTAGCTCTAATTAATGTCTAATTGTATCCATAGATAGTGTATGTTTTTTCCACTATTTTTTGTTTTAAATGGTTTTTAAAAACAATGGAAGCTTATAGTTTCCCATGTTGACTTATTGTTGTATGATGATTAAATCTAATTCACAACTCAGCTAAAGTGTTGAATCATTATTTTTGTACTTTATGAAATAGTCACAATTTAGGATTTTATTAAAATATTACTTTTATTTTTAATTTTTTTAAACTTTTCTTAGTTGTTTTTAACAAGAGTATGTTTTGATAATCATTAAGTTCTAATATTATAAGTGCACTCTATATTTTTATTTCAATGTTTTAACTACTTAAAAATGAAGATTGTTTAGCCCTTGAATTAACTCATGTGTTTCTAAAGCATAGTTGTATTTACTTGTATGTTTGGTTTGGTGTACCATAGTTTATTGTCTGGTTTCATTCAAAGTTTTCAAGATGTTCTATTTTAATTCATAATTTAATAATTAAATTAATTAATAAATTAAATAATTAGGCCTAAATAATAAAATTAAATAATTCCATTATTATTTTCTGTAATTAATTTTGGTTTTATTTCATTAAATTTTTTGATTTATTTTTAAATATTTTTTTTTCCTTTAGCAATTGTCTCCCTTCAGTATTATGTCAAAAAACTTTTTTTTTTTTTCATTATTTTTGTAATAAACAAAAAAAAATTCAGAATGATAAATGTATAGATCTAGGATCTGAATATAACTAAAAATAGTTTCAAATTCTCTTTGTCTTTTTGTACATTGTTAGAATTTTCTTTTAAGTCATATGCAAAACCATTTTTAAATTTGTATACAATGACTGTTTATTCATCACTACACAGGATCAACATTCCATCTTTCACATCAGACATGCCTGTGTTATTTGATGGTGGATGTACATCTTGTTCAAAGTAAATTAATTTACAGTGCATGCCCAGTTTTTATATGTACAACTTACTTATTTGTATTATATTTCTCATGGGTGCTTTTCCTGTATCTAGACAAGTTTTAGTTTTAAAATAATTTTTTTTCAGACAGCTCAGTAAGTAACTTATATTACTACTAGTTGTTTGTCTTTCTACTCATAGTTCCAGTCCTTTTAACATTATCACTGCAAGTCCGCTATACATCTATGCATGTTTTTATTTTTTCCGTCCAAAAAATGTATTGATCTGTAAACAGTTGCTCACATTTTTAAATTAAAAATCTACTGCCCTGCTTTTTTTTAAGTTGTAATTATCTTTACAAATTATAACATGTTTTAATCTAATCAAATTTTTTTATTGTTCCATTGTCTCATCTCGTCCTAGCATGCAGGGTTAAAATTTTTAACTGTTTTGTTTTTTAACTAAAGTATTAATCTTACATTTCCATAAAATGGTTTGAATGTTTGTGTAAAAAAAAATGTATACTAAATTTGTACAAAATAAATTTATTTATTTTTAATTGTGTTTTTGGAGTTTCTTTTAAATCTTAAATGGAATTTGAAAAAAAAATGTGTTAACAAAGGTAGACCATGTATGTGATGTTGGATTACATGTGAGAAAGTTAAAGGTCAGAGATGTGGCCAGGTCACTTAGCGATTAAATTAGTCCAAAGTATCATTGGGCCTCTCTTTGAAAATAAACCACAATAAAAGTTATTTAACTGACATGCTATGTCTTGTGACACGTAATTTATCTTATTTCTATTTACGTTTATCAAACACTAAAAAAATTAGGTTGAATTATCTTGTTTGTATGTTTTCTTACCTTTCTGTTGTTAATATTGGGGTTAAATTAATTAATCTCATTTAATATTTCTATTTAATAGTTTTATTCCTTATACCGCGTTTACACTTACGACATGTATACTATACATTTCCAGAACACAAAGCCCGCCAAAAGTTATTTTTATCTGGAACAATTTTATCCAAAGAACATGTATACTTTAGCGTTCACACTTCTTACAGAACATGTTATAAAACAAGCATGACCTTTGACCCGGAGCGTCTGCTATATATGCCCAGATAATTAAAATAAAAAGTAATCAAAGTAAAAAATAAAAAAAACACGTAGATAGTAGGCACACAGCTTTATTTTTTTTAAAGGAAAATGGTATAGCCACGGTGCTTGCGATTCAACAATGAATTATTTAAAAATTAGAGAACATGCAAGATTTTATAAATTTTATTGGAGTGCCAGCTACTGGAGCTAGACAGTTTTTATAAATATATTGCTGTGTATAATAGCACGAGTCATAGACATTACCCACATGTTATTACCCCTCTCTCCCATCCCGCAGTACAATCACCCCTTCCCACCCCAACCTCATGGTAGCCTTTTCCCCAGCTTCTTTGCTTGTCTATATCCTTCAAACAGCTATAAACAGCTTCGGATGATAGATATAGATATATAGATATAGATATAGATATAGATATAGATATAGATATAGATATATAGATATGGATGTAGATGTATATGTAGATATTCCTTATACGATAAACTAACACTACCCCGAACGCCCGCTACCGTAATCTATAATATGTCTACATGTATATGCCTTGCATCTTTGTTAGTTTTTTTTTTTTTTTGCAATAATATAAGAGACAATATTCGTAATACCATGTGCAATGTTAATTGGAAAAAATTGCATTTTAACTAGCAACCGTGTTATTTTTATTAAGGTTTCAAATCACTGATGTTATTGGATTACTGATACACTATAATATTGAATTAACAAGCTATAGATAAATATTTTTTTAGTTTGCTTTTAAGTCATAAAAGTTTGTTGTTTACAATTAAAAGTAGTGTAATAGCATTTAAGACATAGGTTTTTTTTTCATTATTTCAATATTTTGAAATCTAGTTTTGAGTTTTTTCCCTTGGAGAAAACACAAAGCAAAAACTAAGTTGAATTTCTGATAAAGAATCATGACCCTCGTTACGACTAGAGCAGGGGTCGGCAACCTGCGGTTCGAGAGTCGCAAGCGGTTCTTTTGATGTAAATATGCGGCTCTCCATTTCCATAATGATTATATTACTTTAATTTCAAAACTCGATATTATCTGAGCACAATTTAAAGCAATCACCGTGGGGATGACGGGGGGGGGGGGGGGGGGGGGGGGGAGTTACATCAACTCAACGTTGCAATATATATGACTGAGGAAAACGGTTTTATTGAGAATCGTAATAACCTATGTTAATCCTTGTATGGGGTGGGATGGGGATGTGGGGGTAAAAAAAATTAAATACATCCAGAAAAAAAAAATTGAATATGTATACACATGCGCATACACATACTTACAAGTGTATATGGAATATATATATATATATATATATATATATATATATATATATATATATATATATATATATATATATATAAAGCAATGTATGTCTGTGCATCTGTGTGTCTGTGTGTCTGTCCTTTATGCATTACTACACCTCTCATCACATCGCCTTGAAACTTTGGGAAGTTGTTGAGAATATTCCTGGGGAGGTCTCTGCGAAAAAAAATATTTCAAATTCGCAGGGGCGGCGCCCTGAAACGGCGCGATTTGTTTTTTTCTATATACGGTATATAAAAATAAAAGTCGGTTTTGGTTTGGCATCGTTCATCCGATAGCCATGAGACTTTGGGGAGTTCATTATACCACTCTAGGGAAGGGTTCTGTAAAAAAAATAATTTTTAATTTCGCAAGGGCGGCGCCACGGGAGGGTCCGATTTTTCTCTATATACGGTATATAAAAATAATAAAAGTGAATTGCAGTGACACCGTTCATCTGATAGGCATGAAACTTTGGAGAGTTCATTATAAAACTCTAGGGAAAGGTTCTGTAAAAAAATACTTTTAATTTCGCAAGGGCGGCGCCACGGGAGGCTGCGATTTTTCTCTATATACGGTTTATAAAAATAAAAGTCTATTTTGGTTTAACACCGTTCATCCGATAGGCATGAAACTTTGGGGGGATGATTAGAACACTCTAGGGAAGGGTTCTGTACAAAAATCATTTTTAATTTCGCAAGGGCGGCACCACGGGAGGGTGCGATTTTTCCCTATGTACGTAAGATAAAAATAATAAAAGTGAATTGCCGTGACACCGTTCACACGATGAAACTTCAGGAAGTTGTTGAGAATATTCCTGGGGAGGTTTCTGCGAAAAAAAGATATTTCAAATTCGCAGGGGTGGCGCCCCGACACGGCGCGATTTGTTTTTTCTATATACGGTATCTAAAAATAAAAGTCGATTTTTGTTTGGCATCGTTCATCCGATAGCCATGAAACTTTGGGGAGTTCAATATACCACTCTAGGGAAGGGTTCTGTAAAAAAATAATTTTTAATTTCGCAAGGGCGGCGCCACGGGAGGGTCCGATTTTTCTCTATTTACGGTATATAAAAATAATAAAAGTGACATCGTTTATCCGATAGGCATGAAACTTTGGGGAGTTCATTATAAAACTCTATAAAACTCTAGGGAATGGTGCGATTTTTCTCTATATACGGTTTATAAAAATAAGTCGATTTTGGTGTGACACCGTTATCCGATAGCCATGAGACTTTGGGGGAGTTGATTAGAACAATGCAGGGAAGGTTTCTGTAAAAAAAAATCCTTTTTTAATTTCGCAAGGGCGGCGCCACGGGCGGCTGCGATTTTTCTCTATATACGGTTTATAAAATTTCGGTTTCACACCGTTCATCCGTGTACCATGAAACTTCGGGGAGATGATTAGATCACTCAATGGTAGGGTTCTGCAAACAAATATTGTTCAATATTGCAAGGGCGGCGCCCCCAGGGGGGGGGGGGCGATTTTTTTTCTCTATACACGGTTTATAAAAAATAAAACTCTAATGCTGTTCATCCGAGTGCCATGAAACTTTAGGAAGTAGATGAGAATACTCCCGAGAATATTTCTGCGAAAAAGAAAACTTAAGTTTCTTACGGGGGGCGCCATATAGGGTACAACTTTCGTCAATACACGGTTTGGCGCCCAGAGTTTTAGAGCGATTAAGTTGGCACTTAGCATACGTTAATCGAGCGTCT